AGCATCCACTTACNTTAACGTAGCTGAGTCCAAATCTGACGGTAAATCCTTTACAGAATTCATAGTTATCTCCAAGAGCCCATGCGAAGTATCCTCTTACATTGACACCCTTCTCACTGAAAACGATAACAATCATATATATGTAAATATTACTTAAAAAGAAGATAAATATTGGAGGAAAAGCATGTATAGTAGCATCCACTTACTTGATGACCTTACGGAGAAAACATAGATGACTGCAGAGATAATCGATTCGCTTGTAATCGGCAATAGCTTGGCAACGGTCTTCTGAACTTGGTGTACTAAATCCTAATTAAACCGCCATAACATGAAAAATGTATCACACAATTTGAAAGTCAGTTTCTTGGATTTATTTCAAAATACGCTAATTATGCTATGTAGTATAGATGAAGAGAGATGAGTAGTAATATGTAGAACTCACCATTCTCGGTAACATAGATTAAAGGGTTGTCGTATTTGGATTTGAAGTAGTCCATTACGTAATAAATTCCTTTTGGGTAGTAATAGCTGTTGCCGTTTTCTTTGTCTTCAGTGAACTGAGAAAATGGAAGTGAACTTATTTATCAAGAAAACATAACTAGGAGTGTTATATTGAAAAATAATAATGGAATAAAAATCATAGTGGTGGATCATTCATATATACCACTGGACCAATCCATTCACCACGTGAATTATTATCTGTAAACACAAGGATGAAATAATTGATGGTCACTCACAGTATGTTCTAACAAAAAGGAGATAAAACACACACACACATATATATATATATATAGAAAGATTGTAACAAAGTTGAAATAGAGTGGTACATGTGAGCTTTACGCCAGCGTCCATCATGGCAGTGTGTGTGTCAGAAGGATATGGGTTAGGTTTTGACTGGGCGTACTGAGTGACGTAATAGTTGAGACCAAGAAAATCATATGAACCGGCAACGAGTTCTGCTTCTTCCTCGGTGAAGTTGGGAAGCCTACTACCCACAATCTGCCTCATGATGTCTGGGTATCTACCCTTTGTAAGCGGCTCCATGTACCTGATCAATATTGTATATTTTTTCATTGTACATAGACATAATTAATATATATTGATACATTTTTGGTAATACATAAAATATACACACCATCCATGGAAGAATTGGTTCATCCTCTCAGCTGCATCTATGGAGTCCTGATCAGACTCATCATATGGAAGAAACCATCTAGTTATCATCACAGGTCCAATCTTTCCATTTTGGAACTGTTGGGATCACGTGACATATGATGAGATATGTTACATTACATTACACAACCGTTTTCACATATATATAGAGACCACTCACCTTGTATTTGGTCCTGTAAAGATCGACGACCGTGGCATGAGCAAGAAGCTGGTTATGTGCAACGATATAGGGTTCTGTTGAAGAATTTCCTCCGTAACACCTTTGCTTGGTATCAACCAAAGGAGAACATCGTCCGGGTGCATCTGTTCCGATTGCATAGCCTCTCGTAGGCACTGTGTATAGCTGGTTGATCGTGATCCAGTGCTTCACCTTTCCTCCAAATTCTTTGAAACATAGATCAGCGTAATCTTTGAAATCTTGTCTGTACATATTATAATATAAAATCCTTTCAGTGATACTTGTACAAATCCTCTTTTTTTNGGAGAACATCGTCCGGGTGCATCTGTTCCGATTGCATAGCCTCTCGTAGGCACTGTGTATAGCTGGTTGATCGTGATCCAGTGCTTCACCTTTCCTCCAAATTCTTTGAAACATAGATCAGCGTAATCTTTGAAATCTTGTCTGTACATATTATAATATAAAATCCTTTCAGTGATACTTGTACAAATCCTCTTTTTTTAAAAAAAATTAGTATTATATAAGAAGCAAGGCACATACATGATCTGGCGGTCCAAGAAACCTTCATACTCATCTTGGAGAGTTTGAGGAAGGTCCCAGTGAAAGAGGGTAACGAAAGGTGTTATATTCCTCTCGAGGAGGGCGTCTATGAGTTTGTGGTAGTAATCAAGACCTCCCTTGTTCACTCCCCTACTCACCTTTCCTTCTGCTCATGTATATTTATATCGTACAATTAAAACTCTTCCAACTATATTGGTTTTAAAAAACAAACTACGTACATATAAATATATACATTGATAGATAATCTATACATACTTGGAATGATTCTTGACCACGCAAAGGAGAATCTGTAGCCAGTAGCATTGAGTTCGCCCATAATTTCTACATCTTTCTGCAGATTTCATATTTTAATCATATGTCAACGCACACTTAGTTTTTATACATAGTTCAGTCATGAGTATCTATATATATATATTGTACTGAGGAATTAACCTGCCATCTCGTATATGACTCACAAGTAGTGTCTCCGTTCTGCAAATCTGACCCTGATTTCTCTGATAGTAATTACAAATACATTAATATTTGTACATATAAACCGATATTCATCTCATATATATATATATATATGTCACCGTGACATATATACCTGGGTATCGGTGACTGAAGCCATCCCAAACGTTAACACCACGACCCCTCCCTCCTTCAATCTGAAATGAAAAGAAACACAAATAAAAAGTTGGATATTAGTGTTTTTAGTTGTATTTATTTTTACGTCAAAAGTATATATGGCAACATTTGTTACATGCCTGGTAAGCAGAAGATGCAACACCGAAGATGAAGTCTTTTGCGAAGTTCTTACTGCTTAATATATCAGTGTTACCACATGTGAATGGATTGTTCTCTTCGCAAGTAATTTCTTCACCAGCGTTGCAACTCGCAGCAGCTAATAGAAAAACTAAAGCGAGGCCATGAAGAAGCTTCATGGTTAATATGTTGATGTATGTGTTGTGTTGTATGGAAGCTTGTGCCACTCTAGGGTTTATATAGCCTTCCTAAAGAAGAGTGACGTATTCATTTTCTTTGTCTTAGTGTCTTGATATTCTGGGAGAGGTTTAGGTGGGATTAGTCCCGTGGGATCACTTACTTTAGCTCAATGTTCACCGATTTGGCTTAATTTTCTTGCTCGTTTCCACCTTTTAGTGTTTCTTTTGTGTTTTATTAACTCCCACCTTTTAGTCTTCCATTATTTATTGCAAATATCTTTTTTTTTACATAGCACATATTTGTGTTCCTGTACCGGAAGCAGAATGTATATATCGAAGGTTTGCGTGAATCTAGAACGACGCGAATTATCAAGATTGGTTGTAGGTGATAAATAAAAATAATGTTCTTTTTTTTTCTTGAAGCACTGCGTGAATCAGCTGATTAGCTGTTAGCTGATAAATAATGTTCAAAGCTTATTATCAATTATTGGTTAATCAAGAGTAATACTGATCCAAGGCCACAATGTTCACGAGCCTCACCGCTAACAATCACAAAGCATATCAGCAAAAAAAAATAACAGCCTATCTTATTGGATTTGATTCTTCTGACCTCTCTATACATGCTTTTATCACATGAGACTGGAGTCTCCGAAAGACAAAAGAAAACGAAAACTAAATGCATTTTTTTGCCTTTTTATATTGTACCTAGATGATTGGAAGGGTTGATGAAGTGCAAGAACCTTGTGAATTAGCCTATAGTTGATTCAATAGTTTAACTCTACACTTATGTTAGAATTCATACATTTTAGTTATATTTTTCATAATTAGATATTCTTTTTGACAAATAATTCTTCTATTGTAATACATAAAACAGTACAAAGCTAGGACTTCAAGCATGAATTNACCTAGATGATTGGAAGGGTTGATGAAGTGCAAGAACCTTGTGAATTAGCCTATAGTTGATTCAATAGTTTAACTCTACACTTATGTTAGAATTCATACATTTTAGTTATATTTTTCATAATTAGATATTCTTTTTGACAAATAATTCTTCTATTGTAATACATAAAACAGTACAAAGCTAGGACTTCAAGCATGAATTATGTTCATACTGTTTCAAGAAAAAAATATTTAATTAAATTATGTGCTTTAGGCCTTCTATATATTAGGATGGGGCAACAAATAATAGTTTCAAAAAAAAAAAAAAAAACAAATAATAGTTTCAGTTTAGATAACTTATTTTCTAACTACGAGATTTAAATAACATAAACGTTACGAATTTTTGCTGGATTTTTCTTAGGTTACATGCCCTCTCTGCAAACTGCCATGAAAAAATGCAGTGTGGATATTAAGCTATGGGTTACAGACAACAATCATCTCGCCGGAACAACAAGTAGTCGACATCATTAAAACATGAGCAGACTTCTATGTATAATCCAAATAGACAAACACAGTGTTATTTGTTACTCGCTGGTTAAAACAAACAACTACATATTGCAGTTGCAACGTTAGGTTTTGTTACTTGTAATGCGAATTTGGTCTATTAGGTAAGAGAAGCTTTTCAAAGTTTTCATAAATGCTATACAGACCATTTCGATAGTATTTGGACCCACATATTCACAGGACCGATCATACAAAGCCCGAACAACTAAATGTATACGACCATTTTCACCTAGTCACACAGATTCGTATCGACTCAACCCTTGAGAAGTTTTGTTTAGGAAGACATGTGTTTGTTCTTTTTTTTTTTTTGACATCAAACGGCTGTGTTTGTTCATGAGTTGATTTTTGTAATGTAAGTATCTTTCATTTTGTTTTTTCATTATATGTAATTTATGTTGATTCGGTCTAACCCCGTAAGAACATACTTTATGCTACATAGTAAAAAGAATTTGAAGGGTTACTACATTATTTGACCCGGAGTTTTAAAATAACTTCCAGCTAATACAAGGGAGTAGCCGGATGCTTGTTACCGGGCTATCAAGTAAACTGTATGGACCAAAACCCAACTGAGACTTCCCATATAATATATTCATGCTTAGTGAGATAAACATTTAGGAATCATTGAAGAACCTTTTTTAATGGAATATCATCAGTTATCTTGATTATCAGAGTGACAATTTATTGCATGAGTCGTATAGGCCACGTTTCTTAATTACGAAATGTTAGTTGCATTCTTCCTCCACGGCCTTAAGAAAAGAACTCTTTATGATTTGATAGCAAAAACAAAAGTCGATAAACTTTAAAACACAATATGGTATACGATACAATATTGTCTGATAATGAAAATAAGAGAACTGATTTCAAGGCAAAACCTTCAATTATTACAATACGAAAATTCAGAAATGCAAACGGAAACACTTCAGTCCAAACCAAACCTTCTTGGCCAACACTTATTGTTGATGCTATGACCAGAAGATCGGGGGCGGCGTTGATGCTGTTGGTGGTAGTAGTGGTAGAAGGCATCTGACTGGTGATTGGTAGTTGGTGGTAGCGGTTGTTATTGTCGTCCATGGAAGCAACGCTTGGAAGATCTTGAGCATAACTCATTTGCTGAGGTTGTCCCATCAATAGACTCATAAATGATTGGTTTGTATTTGGATACTGATTCATACACTGATCATGACTCAAACTTGTATTCATATCCTGGCTCAAACCCTAGAACCTAGGCTGATTCATACCCTGATCATGAGTCAGACCTGTATTCATATCCTGGCTCGAACCATAGAACCTAGGCTGATTCATACCTTGACCATGAGTCAAACTTGTATTTATATCCTGGCTCGAACCATAGAACCTAGGCTGATTCATACCATGATCATGACTCAAACATGTATTCATATCCTGGCTCGAACCATAGAACCTAGGCTGATTCTGATCACATAAGGTAGAAGTTTGGTATTGAAATGGAACTTGACGATTCATATTCACACCATGGTTCGAACCATAAAACCTAGGATGAGTATGATCATACAAATTTAAATTACTAGGAGTTTGGTATTGAAATTGCTCTTGATTATTCATATTCTGGTTAGGAACATGATCACTAGAACTTCCAGCCTGCTCATTCACACTCATATCCATATCATCATATTGAGGCATATGATCATAAACTTCAGTAGGGTTACTTACCGAACCCTCGAATCCGACAACAACTTGGTTCACATCACCAACAACAGGAGCAGATGCATCTGTAGCAGCGGCATTAAGGGGAACTGACTCACCATTCGCCTTGAGGATCTCGATCCTGTGAGTTAGTTTCTTGACATAACCATCAATCAAATGATTAAATTCTCCAATAAAGCTTTCATCATGATAGTGATGCTGCGAAATCTTCTCCCCCTTGAGACAGTCAAACATGGCCTCTCTAAGCTCCATCTCTCGATTCTCAGCACGTACCATCATCAGTTTCTCTTCTTCTTTTTCTTGATCCTCTCCCACAGGTAACTGTTTTGGTTGTGAGATAACAAACTAAGTCCCACATTGGAGAATTAGACAAGGAGTGTCTAATATATAAAGAGAAGTCCAACTCTAATAGTACGAGGCCTTTTGGGAAGGAAACCAAAAGTAAATCCATGCGGGCTTGTCAATTAGGCCCAAAGTGGACAATATCGTACTAATATGGAAATATAGAGTTGGACATGGGCTTTCACAATTCCAACAATTGGTATCAGAGCGGTTGACAAGAAATCTGCAAGAAGACCAAAATACCCTTCGAGAGATGAGTGGGTATCCTATGAGTTAGGAACGAGAGGTCCGTGGCAGAAATCAAGTCAGAAGATCCTGGAAGTCAGTTGTGGGACACGAGATGAATGTGATCCTTAGTTTGAGGGGGAGAATGTGAGATAACAAACTAAGTCCCACATTGGAGAATTAGACAAGGAGTGTCTAATATATAAAGAGAAGTCCAACTCTAATAGTACGAGGCCTTTTGGAAAGGAAACCAAAAGTAAATCCATGCGGACCAGCCTCTAAGGCCCAAAGTGGACAATATCGTACTAATATGAAAATATAGAGTTAGACATGGGCTTTCACAATTCCAACATTGGTCGTACATCCTCTGGAACCGTTTCGTCTCCTCCACGTTCATAAAGTCTGTGTGCACTGCTTCAACCCCTTCCTATGACGGCCAAAACTCTGGCCCCGTACTGTCGCAGCTTTGGATAATCGCACAAGCTTTGACACCGCACATAGTCGCCAGCTCATTGGCTTTTTTGATAAAACCTCTCGTCCTCTTCTTGTAAGTTTGGTTCCTTACTTACTTATTAGTCAGTGGCTCTAATTTTATCCTGCCCCTTGTCATTGTTATGGGTGTGAATGAGAGAGATACATTGGCTTTTGATAGTGCTCTTGTTTATATAATGTAATGAGAGGCTGGTATTACGTATGCATGTCTTATCACTTTCTTTGGTATTACGTATGCATATAGTGTAATGAGAGGCTGGTATTAACTCTAATTTCAGATACTATAGATTATTTTCTTTTTGTAGAAATTAAACCAACCAATAAGAAAGCGGCAAATTTCAATTCAAATTAGAAGAAAATATTGCCAGCTAATGTTGCGTAGGTAGTATGATAATTACAAAGATATCGTAGGAAATTTGTAAAATTTTAATAATACTACTACTAAACATACTTTTCTGCAAAAAAGGCTTATTATATCAATTAAACAAAATTATAAGTTTGAGACTGATAGTTTGTGGCTGTTCAAAAAAAAAAAGACTGATAGTTTGTTTAATCAAAGAAAAACTGAATCTTGATAAGAAACCAGAATTAGTTAACTATGTTTTTTTTTTTTGGTTTAGGAAACCGCAAGAAACTTTGAAGAATTTAGAAAAGAAGGTCCATAAAAAAGTAAATTTTCAGAGGTCTTTTGATACGTAAATTCTTGATATATATATTCAATAACATAAATTCAGGATAACTAGCTTTGAGTTGGAATTATTATGGCTTAATAATGCTATTTGGTATCAATTGTAAAGTATCCATGACAAGAAAAGAATATATTAAAAGCTTGATTATGATTTACTAAGCCCAACATGCATATCTAAAGGTTTATGAAGTTTCATAAAAACTTTTCTTTTGGGTGGAAAAACAATTTGGGCTGATGGATCCTATACATTATTTACGAAAGCTGCAGGCCTTATCTTAAATTGAACATTAAATGTGTGACTTCATTGAAGTTGATGAATTGAAATTAAAACAAGTATTAAACTACGTGTTTTGCCCGCGCTTGCGGGCTTAATAATTTTTTTAATATCTATAAATATATATATAATCAATTTATGTAAATTTTAATAAATTATTGTTCATAGACTCAAAAAATTTAATAATAAACTAAAGAAATTCTTTCTATATATAAAATTTTTCATCATCATATAAATAATTTTCATTACACAGCTTATATTTGAAAATACTCATAATCTTAAAACATTTAGTAATAAATTAATATCATTTTTAGACATAACAAAAAAGTATAAAAAATATCTTTAATAATGTTTTGGATAACACAATATAAATTATCTATACATAAATTCTTTGCGAATTGATTTTTCATAATTAACTATATATTAACAAATAGAATTATTTTTCAACGTTAATAAAGACTTTATAACACAATATAAAAAAGTTAGATAAAGATACTTATCAAATTCATGAGATTCATTTTTTTAATTTAGAATTAATTATATGTTAACAATATAATTATTTTTCATGGTTGATAAAGACTTTATCACATAATATATAAAAAATTAAAATAAGGATAATTATCAAATAAATGAAATTCGTTTTTAATTTATAATTAATTATATATTAAATAATATAATTATTTTCAAGGTTAATAAAGACTTTATAACCCAATATAAAATAATTTTAGATAAGGATAAATCTAAAATCATTGAAATTCGTTTTTTATTTATGTTTAATTATATTAAAATTTTTAATTATTCATTAAGAATATAAATGATATTAACCGCTCTAACTTTCAACGTGAGAGCTCTGTTGCAAAAAATCATTCACAAATAATAGTATAGATTACCTAAATCACAGAAAGTTACAAATTAATCAGCAAATTCACTTAGATTTTATAATTGAAAATATATTTTTAAGATAACAATCTAATATTAAATATAATATTATTAACATAAATTCGTTTTTATTATATAATAAATTATTTAAACATAAAGTAAGCAAAATAACCTAAAATCATGGAGAAGTTGACAACTAAGCAAATTTACTTCTCAAAATAAGCAAAATAACCTAAAATCATGGAGAAGTTGACAACTAAGCAAATTTACTTCTCAAATAATGTTATAGATAAGGAGCTGATACACGTCACATTTACTCACAACTTGTTTATGCTAGGAACTTTTTCGTAAAAACATGCATTTGTAGATGTTTTAGGCAGCTATTGATAACTAACTTTTATAGTGATAATCACAATACTAGCAAAGTATAGTTTAAAAAAATATATCCTACATATATATAACATGCAAAACATAGAGACGAATGCTGCAGATCAATAATTATACCAAAGGAGATGAAACAGTTTTAATATTCATGAAACAAAAGAGTAGTGTCGCACACTTTGTTAATGGATGGAACTGGACACGAGAGTGATGTTTTAACAATCTCTTTCTTCACCATTTTCGTATAGTATTGCCTCTCTAAGCAAGTTTTTGCACTTAGAACATGGAAGTTTATATTCTTGTGACCAAATCATGATTTTTCTGTTTTTGTCCCACTCTTGCAATTATCAGTCTACTACAAAATGATGCTCTCTCACTTTTATTTTAGCTTCTTTGATTCGTGTTGGTGTCAAAATCGGTCACGGCGGAATCAATGACTAAAAGATTCCGCAAGAAATAAAAATACGTTTTATAAAAATCGAGAAATCGTTTTATAAAACTCGAGAAATCGTTTTATAAAACTCGAGAAGTAGTTTTATAAAACTCAAAAAATCGTTTTATAAACCTCGAGAAATCGTTTTATAAAACACGAGAATTCGTTTTATAAAACTCGAGAAATCATTTTATAAAACTCGAGAATTCGTTTTATAAAACTCGAGAATTCGTTTTATAAAACTCGAGAATTCGTTTTATAAAACTCGAAGTCGTTTTATAAAACTCGAGAAATCGTTTTATAAAACTCGAGAATTCGTTTTATAAAACTCGAGAATTCGTTTTATAAAAATCGAGAAATCTTATAAAACTCGAGAAGTCGTTTTATAAAACTCGAGAAATCGTTTTATAAAATCAAAAAGAAGTTTCCAAAAAGGAAATCCGCGGAAAACTCGGAAATTGTTATCTCGGAAGAACGAAACAAACGTCGATTACACGATCGTCTGAGTTAAGCACAAAACCGCAAAAAACTGTATCCGCCATAAACCGCGAGCTGGTTTGGCCGAACTAGCTCGCCGTACGGCGAGCTGTACCGGTTCGGTTCGGCTCGTCGTACGTCGAGCTGACCATCCCGAAACATCGAACATTGCCTAGCTTTACGATTAACTCGAGAAACTTATTTAAAAATGGCATCGCATCAGGAAATGATCTCGTATAAAGTCGTAAAACGGTTTTGTCGCAAAACGGTCCGGAAAGTCCTAAAACGCGATAAAGGCCTATCTCGCGACTTTAAAGAAGTCTAACCCGAAGATACGACGACGTTTTGATGATTTACTCGCAGAAAGAAGATAAATGTCAAATTTGAAGATAAATGTCAATTTTGGAGATAAATATAAGATTTCCGCGGGAAAAAGGAAAGATAACGATAAAAGGAAGGTTCTCGATAAACTCAAATCTGGGCGAAATGGAAGGACTAAACCGCCAAGGAAGAGAGTATATAAGCAAGAGGCACATGACATTACCAAGGGAAGATTTTCAGAGCTCTCATCTGAGACTTTTACAACTTTTCTAGACTTAGAGTTTTTCCGCACTTAGAAACTTAGGCTTTTTTCTCGACAAGTTCGGTTTCTATGACTGGCGCTCAATTACTAGATCGAACTCGCCCAGGCAGTTCGATATCTTGTCCAGATCTACCAACTGAACTACGTTCGACTTGGTCCCCGAAAGGGGTACGTAGGCATCCTTTCACAAGGTTCAGTCCGAAATCGATCAAACTCTCTTTTTCTTATATTTTTCGTCTTTTGTTATCGAGCTGCGACTCAACTAGGTTTAGGGTTTTATGTTGATAACTCGCTGGCGGCCCCTGCGACCAAAGCCTTTGTAATCTCTTGTAACGATCGCAACGCTCTTATGCGAATTCGAAATAAGATCGACTTTCTTTATAAATTCGTTTTATCATGTTTTTCGTATTTTCCGCATTTATTTGGTTACCTGCCGTTGGCTTCTGCAGAGATCTGGGTCCTCTGGAAAATTAGGGTTTTCCTAAGTTTTCTTATTTTACGGAAA